AAATCTGAAGCAAATTAAGAAACTTAACACAATGTAATATAGCAATATAGTACCTTTAGATTTAGAAAATATCTAAAAATATAAACAAATTAAAAATGGCACAAGAATAGCATTATTATTGCGTTGGCAAAGCAACCAATCATTATGCAATCCTAATTAAAGTTGTGGCCTCCTGACTTCCTCCAGCCCATTTAGTAGGATTTCTAACCTCCTTGGCACATCCTAATTTCCAAGCTTACGAAGATAACATTTTGGAATATAGTTCATAGTTGCTCAGCCAGTATCCTGTGGATGACAACCTGTGAAAAAGTTAGACAGGCAGCAAGTAACAAAGACAGAAGAGGTAGCGATAGAGATAGAGATAGAGATAGAGAGGCAGCAGTAAGCAAAAGGACCCAAATACCTCTTAGAATGGTCAGGAAGTAGACCAGGAATATGGAATTTTACATCAATTTCATTACTTACATAGGTGAACCCAAGTAATCTATGCATTGTGGATTACCATAACCTGGGAAGCTATTACTGAGACCTTTGCTTATCCAGCATTTCTTTACTCAGGGTGCTTTGACACATTCTAGCGCATTCCATTTTCTACTGAACATTTCAACAATGCTTGTAATTCCACATTGTTGTGACATGGTTGCTATTCTCTTTGGGATCTCACTGTGCTGATGTTATTATGTTATCTTTTATCTTATCCAAGATGTCAAGTTTTCACTCGACTGCCAGTGAGAGTCAGCAAAGTCAGTTCCAAGGACTTTTGCAGAATATTGGCACAGAGTTGAACTTGTCATCCATTTTGGTCCATCAGGGCTGATTTTTGCTGTCATTGTTTCGACAGTAGTTTAGTCGGGTGTAGTGTTAATGTTGCTGATTTGTTGTGTGAAGAAAGTGTCTCTGAGTTCTGGTATTACAGGAGAGGGAGTGGGAATCCTTAAACATGACTTATATAAGTGCACTTACTTTCATTGCTCTCGTCTAGAAATATGTAATTTCAGGCAATTTAGTTGCCTGAAACTAAATTGTAATCAGGAATGTTCACATTTGTCAGCAATGGCCAGTATGTTGCAGTAATCTTTATGGGAAAGATTTGCTCAAAATCAAAATATCCTTTTAAAACTGTAAAAAAAATTTAAATCTTAGCTCTTGGCTCATTTAGTTAACTGGGAAAAGATACAGAAACTAGCCTGCTTAAGAAAGAAAGCTATATATTATTCCTTTAATAAATATACATATATTTAAATAACAGATTTTATCAAAGCATCAAAATCCCCCCCATCACCTTTCATTTTATGATAGTTCCACCAATGTATTTTTCTGTTTAGAATATAATATAAGTTCGTGAATATAAGAATATAATATAAGTTCGTGCAAGTGAAATTGGGTAGGTGGTGAGACATATTCAACATTTTTTATTTTTTAATAATTACTTTCCATTCCTGGCACATTGCCATAGTATGAGATTTCTTCGAATGATGTTGGTGAAGAAAATATTTGGTTTGCTAGTATTAAAGTAACACTATGTGCCAGGAGTGCCATTTTGGCCCCGCGACTGTGGGTACTCAGGGCTGTGGGTGCCACACAGGGTGCCAGGCCCCTACATGGGGACTTTTGTGGGTGCTCAGGCACTCAGGGCCCCAGGGAGTTGGCACCTATGGTAGCTGCAAAAAGATTTATTTTATGTCTCAAATCTGTGTATTTTATTCCTTGTACCAACTGATTTTGATAGATTTTATTTGCCATAGGCAGCATACAGGAGGCAATTGAATTTGGGTGTGTCCCAGGCATTTAGTTGAATATAGGCTAAGTTACCTTTATGTAACTGCTTTTAAAGCCACAATGAATATTCTCTGAAAATGAATTTTTTGGGGGGGCAGGAAGGTAAAGTATGTTTGAAATCCCAACTTAACCTGTCAAATGCCTTGCAGTTAACATCCAGTGAATGTTTAATCCAGTTGGGGGGGGGTCTCACCTTAAATCTGTCAGATCAGCAGCATCAAGAATATCTTTAAACCAGATTTGGCACAAATCTTTTCCTTGATTTCCCTCTTGTATCCATTTTTGTTTCATTGATCCAATCTAAATCGCCACCCAAAATTGCAGTTCCTTTTGCAAATTGTGTAAAATATTTATTTGACCATTATTAGGGCTAAACATTGAGCCTAGAGTAATTTCACGATTTTCATTAATCCTTGAAAAATACATCTACCTATAGGGTCAAGTAGTGCATCTTGAACCATGAAACCTAGGCTTAATGACAGTCCAGATTGCTACCTCCTTTTCTGTGGATTTGCCTGGAACCATATGCCATTCACCCTATGCACAAGAAATAAGCTGTTTTACATATTTTAGATATTACCATTATTTTGTAGTTCCTTTCTGATGTTTCATTTTTTAATACTGACCGTACTCTTTCTCCTCTTCACCTTGGTTACCTAGACCATTCGCTTTACACATGCAGACTTTTAGCCCCCATAATACAGAATACTTACAATTAAGCCAAAGGTTCGGTATCATCAGATAAGGGATGCCGGTGGCGCTGTGGTCTAAACCACACTGAGCATCTTGGGCTTGCCGATCGGAAGGTTGGCGGTTTGAATCTGTGCGATGTGGTTTAGTCCTGCTGGAAGCTGTCAGTGAACAAACACCGGCTCCGTTGGCCTGAAAGTGAGATGAGTGCTGCACCCCATAGTCAAATTTGACTGGACTTAACCATCCAGGGGTCCTTTACCTTTTACCTTTAACTTTAAAGTCTATCATCAGATACTGAGAAACACCCTTATTTGCTAAAACTGGTTGGGTTGTAGCCCTCAAGAGTGGTTTTTGGTATGAGCTGCTGGGAGAAATCAGGAATTGTTTGACACTAAATTCCAGAGACATTTCAAATATGGAAATGATAGCGCATAACAAAAATGCACATGGAATATGCACCCCCTCCCCCCTAATTTTACTCTCCTCCTTCTACACTCAGTATAAATCCAGAGTCTGTCCATTCCCTCAAGAGAGGTAATGATGGATAGGGAGTTTAGGTACAGCACATTTCTACCACCTTCCCCCTAATACTGCAACTGCTATCCTATATTATAGCTCATCAGAAAAACAACCTTAAGTTTCCTTCTAGTATTTGACTAATTCTATCACATCAATTATTCCTCACCCAATGGCTGCCTATCTTCCTTTGAAGAATGGGCTGATTTTTGTGCCATTAGAGAACATTCCTCTTGGCTTTCCAGGCCACTTGTGGGTGAATCGGAGCCCCAGGGAGTAAAGTAAGGTGTAATATGCTTTTCCTTACCCCCTACAAGGCTGTGAATCATTGCCTGTCCAGATGTTTATGGGAAGATCCTTTCGTCTGTCTAATTTGAGTTGTTGGCTATATTTTAAGCAGACAGTCTAAACTGCCATCTTGGACAATGATGTATTTGCCCTTCCGTAACAGCTTCTGGATGAAACTTTTATGATATGTGTAGAGAACATGCTTTGGAAGAATTTAGGAAAACACAAATAACTTGGAAGACCTCCAGCAAGAATCCACTGTTATATGAAAAACGCAAGCTGAAAATATTAGCCAATTAAAATAACATACTTTGCATTTGGAGAATTCAAATATAGCATGCTCTATCTACTATTTATTCAACTGTAGCAGTTCGTTTCTGATGAAACTCTTAATTAAAAATTATTGCGGAGTCACTTTATTGTTCTCAGAGCGGGGAATTTTTAATAGGTTAAATGTAATGAGTGCCATTTTAAAAAATTAATGTGCAGTGGGGAATAATGTTTTTGGGCATGTGTGGTTGTATTTAGACGCTAGAAAACTCAAAAACATAACTCGCAGCACGTGGAGGGGCTGAGGAATATGGTACCCTCCGGAGAGAGAGAGAAATACGTTGCATCTTCACCTTGGAGCAGCAGCACAGTGATTCCCTATTGAACACAGCAGAACGTCCTGCTGGCATTCTTCCAAAGATGTAGCAACATACAGAATTCTGCATTTCTGCTTTACCTCGAAGCCCTTTTGCTATACGATGCAATTTATTTCATTAGCAATTGAAGGATGAGTATTTTATCAACACTCTTCCTTAAAACATATTATCACAATTAGGAGCTGGAACTATAGATTGTGGTTTTTAAGTACTTTCCCTGGTGCAGAGCTGAGATTCAAACACATTTCTGAATATCACAACCTTGTACAAATTATGACCCACCAAGCCATTTGCAGTCCATAGACTGTGAGCAGTTGCTATTGGCAGTGCAAAACTAGGAGATTTGCCTGCCACTTGAGATGCCACGAGGGACTGTAGCAAACGTCATAAATTTTGTAGATTCTCACACTTGCTGCTAATTTAAAAAATGTAAGAGGGTCAGTGGGAAATGTCAGAAACCATTGTGTAATGTGCCTGCTTTGGAAATTTCCTTTTTCCTGTAAATGATGGGAAATGAGGTTGACATCTACTTAAGGCATTCCGCTGCCATTTAGATTTTATTATTAGGTAACAGAATTTTTTAAGAGTTCCTTTCAGGTCTCCTAAAAATGTAATGATTCACCACATTTTTAATGCTTACTAAAAGGTGTGTGTGGGACGCGGGTGGCGCTGTGGGTAAAAGCCTCAGCGCCTAGGGCTTGCCGATCGAAAGGTCGGCGGTTCGAATCCCCGCGGCAGGGTGCGCTCCCATTGTTCAGTCCCAGCGCCTGCCAACCTAGCAGTTCGAAAGCACCTCCGAGTGCAAGTAGATAAATAGGGACCGCTTACTAGCGGGAAGGTAAACGGCGTTTCCGTGTGTGGCTCTGGCTCGCCAGAGCAGCAATGTCACGCTGGCCACGTGACCCGGAAGTGTCTCCGGACAGCGCTGGCCCCCGGCCTCTTGAGTGAGATGGGCGCACAACCCCAGAGTCTGGCAAGACTGGCCCGTACGGGCAGGGGTACCTTTACCTTTAAAAGGTGTGTGTATTTGTGTGTATGTGATACGGTATTTAAGCCATCATCTCTTTCCTTTTGCAGACATGCTCCGCTTGACAGCAGCCAACATCCAAAGCAACTAGGCAAGCCTCCAGGTGCTGGGGCCCCTACTCTTAGCAAAAGCAGGACAGTAGATACCTTGAAAACAGAGCAGCGCTTGCCTGGGAAGAGCCCGTCCTCTACAAGTTTGAGACAGTCTAAATCAAGAACTGATTTTAAAGACGACCAGAAGCCAAGTATGATGCCCAGCTTCCTCTCGGATGCCAACCCATTTGGCGCAGTCACGTCAGTTGTAAACAAATTCAACCCCTTTGATTTGATTTCGGACTCAGACCCAGCTCAGGAAGAGGCCTCAAAGAAACCGAAGCCTGCACAAAAGGAGCAGGATAGGCCTGAGCCGCAAAAGGGACCCACCAAGCAACCAGCACAACAACAATCTCCAAAGGCAACAGCTCCACAACAGGGGGCTGACAAACCAGCCCCGCAGAAAACAGGACCTTCCAAACCGGCACCGCAGCAGCAGCAGCAGCAGCCACAGCCACCTGGGGTGCCTAAGCAGGCTCAGAAACCAGGGCCTGGCCAAGCAAAAGGCCCACAGGCAGAAGCAGCAAAACAGCAGCCAGGGCCACCAAAAGCTCAGTCACAGCAGCCAGAGCCTACAAAGCCTGTTCAGCAGCAGAGCTCTGTAAAACCCTCACCGGGAGCAGCGAAAGCACCCTCACAGCCCCCTGATGGTGCTAAAACATCTTCCCAGGCGCCTTCTCCTGCCAAGCCAGCTACCCAGCAAGGGACACCACCCAGCAAGCAGCCGTCTCAGCAGCCAGGAGGGCCAGCAAAGGCTGCCCCCCAGGCAGCAGGCCCCACAAAGGAAGCTTCGAAGGCACCAGTTCAGCCAACTGGGCCTGCAAAGCCACCACAGCAGCAGGCAGGACCTACAAAACCTACCGGCCAACAGCCGGGACCTGAGAAACCGTCCCAACAGCAACAAGCTGCTTCATCTCAGCCTGGTGGATCAGCTCCAAAGAAAACCTTTTGCCCGCTTTGCACTACCACTGAATTGCTTCTGCACACTCCTGAGAAGGCCAATTACAATACATGTACTCAGTGTCAAACTGTAGTTTGCAGTCTGTGTGGGTTCAATCCTAATCCGCATATAACAGAGGTAAGTGAATATTTAGACCATTAGCTAGTGCCATAAAATTGAAAAGAATATTTAATTTCATTGAGTGTACTTGTGCATGACCTTTATGTGTTTTGGCATCTAGATCATTGAGTTTCTGGGATCTCTTGGGGGTTTTAGCAGGGGTTCCTCATTGAGGACACTGGCAATGACAGATAAACTGCCTAAAAAGGGCACATCTGCTGTTACTAGTCTTCCCCTGCAATACAGTGGACAACGCTGGATGTACTGTTGGGTTGCACAGAGTGATAGTTTGGCTTGACACACTGGGCTAGTACTCATGGGAACTGAGAGCGCTTTCTTGAACATGCCTCAGAATTCTCCATGGGGTTGTGCAACAGATGCTTGAGTTCCTCTGCAGAGAATTAAGTGTGAGGTTAGAAAGTTTGAAAATTATGCATCTAGACAGTGTGGGTCATGAAGCAGAAAGTATTGTAAGTTTTTACTTTTTGATACTACTACAACTAATAATAATAAAATAATTTTCTATGCCACCCTTCATCTGTAGATCTCAGGGTGGTTCACAGCATAAAAATTCTAGATAAAAAACTCAAAATACATAAGAAGAACAAAACAAACCAATACCCCCCACCCCCACTAGATAGAAGTGCACTGCAATTAGATAAATAGGTGATATAGATATAGATATACACACACACACATACATATATACACACGTGTGTGTGTGTGTGTGTGTGTGTGTGTGTTGTTTTTTGGTAATTTGGTCAAATAACAGAAAGGAGAATTCCCTGGATGCCTAGATCCAGGTTTTGGGACAAGTACTCTTTGGTGAGAAAGAACCCCAGCAGAGATTTAAATTCACAAAACATGCTGCAAAAAAAGTGTGGGAATATAGGCTGTTAGACCTTTAAAATATCCTTTTCTAAGCTGCTTCCAAAGTTCCTTACTTCCCTTGCCATAGAAAGAGACAACATGTTCAGTAAGTTAAAAAAAGTTTACTTACAAACCCTTCAAAGGTCAGATCCATGTACCGTATTTTTCGCCCTATAGGACGCACCGGCCCATAGGACGCACCTAGATTTTTTTTGGGGGGGGTCCCCAGAACGGGACCCAGAGCGATGCCGAAGCTGCGCACAGCTTCAGCATCGCTCTGGGAGCTTGTGTGGCTGGGGGAGGGGGAAGCCCTCCACCAGCCTCCAAACCAGGTCAGGAGACAGCGGGATGGCACGCTGCGCCTCCCCGCTGTCCCCCAAGTTTGCGGGGCTGGCGACTGGGAGGAGCAGGCTTCTCCCCCCCGCCAGCCTTCTAACAAAGTCGGGGGACAGCGGGATGGCGGTGTTCCGCCTCCCCGCTGTCCCCTGAGCTTGTGGGGCTGGCGGTGGGGCTCTCCTGAAGCCTGGAGAGCGAGAGGGGTCGGTGCGCACCGACCCCTCTCACTCTCCAGGCTTCAGCGAAAGCCTGCATTCACCCCATAGGACGCACACACATTTCCCCTTCATTTTTGGAGGGGGAAAAGTGCGTCCTATAGGGCGAAAAATGCAGTACTTTTCCATACAGGAGTCTCAGCTTGGAGCATCCAGCTTACTATTAGGGTTCACATGGTGGAAGAATGAGAACCAAAAGTTTGGTAACCCTTCCTCCCAAGGTGAGGGGGTGTTTGTGTGACCTAGCTAAGCCTAGCAGGACAGCTTACTCTATGGTCTTAACCCTTTCTGGCATTAATTAGAGTTAAGCATGTTGGTTATATGAGGCTGGATAGATACATATCTATATATCTATACCTCTGCTTGCCTTGATGTAAAACTTTCGGTGTGACTACTGCAGGCTCTATGGTAAGATTTGTACTTGCTCTCTCTCTCTCTCTCCTCTGTGACAGCTATAAATCCCAAACTCCCCCAGTTTGTCAGATAATGATTAAAGGTTATCCTTGCGTAGTATTGTGATGTGCTTTGAACTGCCAGCTATTGACTCCGTCTGCAGTGCATGCAGCTTGGGCCTAGGAGGCTGGCCAAGAAGGGTGCCAAGAAGCTCTGTGGCCAAGAAGCAGTTGCAACAGATCTCTGCCTGTAAACCCGGATGCACAATTCAATTTTATTTTTGCGTCTTCCGCTAGGAGATAGCGTGACACTTCTTACCAAATCAGCTGAGGAAGATATAATACTTTTGTCTAGAACAGTAACAACAAAATCCCGCCATTATAGAGCTTAACTTCTTTATCTTTCATGTTACTTACTTGTCTCAGTGATCATTCAAAGGGTCCCAGGTTACAACGTAGAACATTAATATTATTAAAACAAAGCAATAGAATTCACATGAAGCATCAAAACATCAGTTATACAGTTATTACTGTACATCAGTGCAGCAGACAGACAACCAGTCATTGTACAATTGGCCCCATCTGTTCCACTGCCTTCGAAAGCCTAGGTGAAAAGTTGTGTCTTTATCTGACACTGAAAAGTAAGATAAAAAGGGAAGTACCGTATTTTTTGCTCTATAAGATTCACTTTTTCCCTCCTAAAAAGTAAGGGGAAATGTGTGTGCGTCTTATGGAGCGAATGCAGGCTGCGCAGCTATCCCAGAAGCCAGAACAGCAAGAGGGATCGCTGCTTTCGCTGCACAGCAATCCCTCTTGTTGTTCTGGCTTCTGAGATTCGGAATATTTTTTTTCTTGTTTTCCTCCTCCAAAAACTAGGTGTGTCTTATGGTCTGGTGCGTCTTATAGAGCAAAAAATACGGTAATTTTCCCAAGTGAGGTGCCACCATGGAGAAGGCCACATCTTGTGTTACCACACAATGAACATCACTTAACTATGGGATAATGTTGGGAGTTACCAGAACATGGATTACTGTGGCTAAGCTAGCTCTGTCCAGGAACGACTAAAATAGACACTCCTGGCCACTGAGACCACCTGGGCCTCAAGTGTCACACGCTTATAATATATTATATTGATAAAGTTAATATATAACTGGAGTTCCACTCCTTCTTCCCATCACTCTGCTGATCAGTAGGAGGGTATGTTGTGGGGCCTTGTAATATTAGGCAATGAGCAGCTTGGAGGGTGCAGATCAAAAACTTCTAAACTAGAGTTGGAAAATAAGTGCATGTTTCTTGGAGACTACGCACACTGACCAGAGAATGAATGCATTGCCTAGAGAATGTACAGAATGCAGTAAAAATATGCACATTCCACAAGGCCAGTTGGGAATTATGCACATTGACTGGGAAATGTGCACCATTCCTTCTTCATGGACAGATTGTATTCACATTCTCGATGAGGCCCATTGAATGTGCACCATGGCCAACAGTTAAGCCCACAATTTACAATCCTAACATACATATATAAAAAACACCAGCATTCCAGAATGTAGGAGAGTAAGCCACTGTAAATGAGGCCTACAGTATTGCTGTGATTGCATCTATAGTCTTCTGAGCTGTGGAGCAGGAGGCAGGTAGGAGTGCAGACCTAAATATGGCGTGGCCAAGCAAACCATTTCTTAAATTCAAGAACATAAAATTATAACAGTGGTGGTCATCATAGCTGTATTGCATGATCTTTCTAGATCGAACTTGATGACAAAAGGCGGTTTATTCTGCATCTGGCATCTTGAATGACAATTATTCAGCTTCCTCTTTAATCACAAATCTGAAATAGATTGCTACATTACACAGGGTTGCTTTGCACAAGACATGCTGCTCTACACTTAGACAAGATTGCTGTGCAATCTTAGACATTTGTTCATGCTGATAAATGTAGCATGCGAACAAGCCTTTGACAGTGGCTGCAGCTGCCAGCAATTTCTGTGATCATGGTAGCCTTTTCTCCACACACTCTGATTGAAAGAATTTTTGCCGGCTGCATCCACAAATGACTGGTTCATGTGTTGCTTTGTCCACTTCAATGCATAGCCAAGAATTACGTTTGGAGAATAAAATGTCTTGCATCAATTGGCTCATAAGAGTAACATTGCCCACTGTTGTACAGCGAGTGTGTGCTTGAATTGCAAACAGTGAAGAAGCCCTCCTGGTACAATCAAGTCTGGCAGTTGTGAGGCAATTGCTGGAAAAACGTGCACCCAAACTTGCATTTAAATCATGTGCATTTCTCTCTAAACTGTACATCTCTTTCCCTAACACGCACATTTTTGTATACATTCCTGAGCCAAAAACTTCATCACCAAATCTGGAGAAGTGTGCAATCCAAAAGAAAACTGGGTTCCTATTTGTGCATTAGTCCAAATCAAGTCTGTTCGCTTAGAAGTGTGGGCAGAATCACATTCTCCCTCGTCCCTGTTGTTCTGTAACGCAGCCAAACCCTGCCAGAACAGAGAGAAAGGTCAGTAGAGTAAATAGGAAGCCATCAGAGAAAATTGATTTTTAAATCACCAAGAAAATAAATAAACAAGTTAAATTTGGTGGTTGTGGGATGTGTGTGTAATTTCCCCTGAACCTGATTTCAGTGTTGCCTGTTTTGCAGCTGTGGTGGCACTGCTTCTGGGGCTGCTTTCTTTACTGCAATGTCCCATTGTCAGTTCACTCATGTGGCACCATGGCAAAGGAACTGCTTTGAAGGTTGGTTGTTCTTACAATCCATCGGTACATAGTTTTTATGAAATAAAATAGAGAAACATTTTTGAAACCTACCACCTAGCTTTGTTCCCACCCCCATCCCCAATTTCAAGCAACCTCGCTAACTGAGAAAGTCTTGTAATTACTGGAGAGATCACTGTCTTAGTTTATAGGGAATGTAGATTTCGTTGGGTGGCAGATTATATAGGTGTTACACAGAATAGAGCAGGACCTAGAACCTGATGCCTCTGCTGACCTGCAAATTCCTTGTTGATATTACTAAGTGCACAGTGCTAAATTTAGTATGTGATCTAAAAAGACATATTAATGTCTAATGTTTTGTATATAATGTATTTGTCTATAGTTGTAACCTGCTTTTAAACACCTAAAAGCTTATTTAAACAATCAAACATCAGAAGACACAGGGCAGGAATCAGAAGCTCTTGAGCAAGGA